AATCTCTGAACAAATGAGACTGAATCTTCCGCTTGAACATGGAAAGATACATTGATGAATCAGGTAAGCACGTAACGTATCTCTGGAACCTTTTTTTTTTTTTTTTTGGAGAATCTCTGAACAAATGAGACTTAATCTTCCGCTTGAACATGGAAAGATACATTGCCATATATGGGCCTCGCTGCACTACTCTGGAAATGTGCAAAACGAGAGTGAATCTTGAGCTAGAATATGGAAAGTTACACCGCCAATATTTTTGTCTTGTTGTGCATGTCGAGAGTTGTGCAGCGAGCCCGTTGGTGAACATTACCGTTGAGGTTCCGGGCTTCACTCGTGCAAAGAATTTCTGATGTTCTTCCTTTACGTTTTTTTCTTTTTATTAAAAAAACAAATTCCAGGAAAAACGGCTGTCAGTTCCGTCGTTTTCTACTTCAGAAGTAATAAGAAGAGATCGTTTTGAAAGATCGCGACCCTCATCATGACTGAATCTGGCCTGCAAGAACCCTACCATACAGACTGCACTTACCGTTGAGGTTCTGACAGGTTGGACGCGCCGGGCGACACTCATGCAAAGAAATTCTGATTTTCTTCCCTTACATTTTTTTCTTTTTATTAAAAACAAAATTCCAGGAAAAACGGCAGGCTGGGGGGACAGTCCAACAACAAGAACCGACTTCCCCCCCCCAGACTTCGAATCAGATTCAGACTGTTCAAAAAAAAAAAAAGAAGAACGGGCCTTCGCGCGGCCTCCAAAAAAATTTTCGCGCCCGTTTTCCTAATTTTCCTAGGACCCCCCCGAACCCCGAAAACCGAACCGACAAAAAAAAAAAAATTTAGTACCCTGCAATTTCGACCATGCGCCGCGCGTCATGCGGGCGCCACTTGCGCGCTGCGGCCTGCGCCGCACATGCGCAAGTGCCGCGCACGACGTGCGCCGCAAGTATGGTACAGAGATGTCGCATACCTATAAGGCACAGATCAGAACCACGAACCGACCCAAAGCAATGATAGCACAGCGGAAGACTGATATACCACAATCTGACCAGAACAACTCAGACTGACTGCAAAGCACTCGTCATCATCAAGCAGGATGAGAGGGCCTGGTGGTGAAAACACAGACTAAGAGCACCGGGCCAAAGCATCATCCACAGATGAGGAGGAGGGGGAAGAGACGAAGGAGGAGGAGATATGGAGATGTCGTCAACTCAAATGTTACTCATGAAGTTTGATTGGATTAGAATAGAACAACGGTTGACCGTATAAGATTTTGAACACAGAACAGCTCCCCAGGTTGGATTCGAACCAACGACCCAATAGATAGGAATCATAGGATAAGCAGTGTGTGTAATCTGACTAAGCTTCCCTCCGAACCGTGCGTGCAAGATTTCCAAGCACACGGCTCTCCATCAGTTTGGCAAGACTACCGACTGTTTCATGTAATATGAAAACTCTGATGGCACACTTCATGCCGGCACAGGGACAAAAAGTTGAAGGCGATCCCGAATTTTCTTGGTAGAGGCAACTTTGTTGCACTTAGGATGGCCTGTATTAAGGGTCTTTGTTTTACATGATCAGTATGACTCTCCTGTTAACAAAGAAAAACCATATGTAAAACACAGGCCGCGTTGGCGGAGATTTCACAACGGCCTGTGGAGTAATGGAAGTCCCCAAAGTTGACTTGCATTTAACTAATTTGCTAGGAAGATTACCCGGGCGTGCCAATTTTTTGGTTTTCTGCACTCTCCCAGAGGACCCCAAATTCGGTCTCATTTCATTTTTTGTGAGTTGGCTGTCAAGGGAGGGGGGGGGGGTTATAACTTGGTTTTAAAGTGGCTAAAGGGGTTTAAAGGGGGGTGCCTTAGTGTGATTCTGTTACTTTCTTTTTTATCACCGATTCTGTGAAGAATTATAATGTGACCCACAGCCAAAAGTCATTTGTATTGCAATTCTACACAACAATTTTTTTATTTTTTTTTATTTTTTTTGCGCCGGGGCTGCCCGGAACCCTGCCGGGGGGGTCATGCCCGGCTGGGCACCCAGGCGTGTAACCGGGCATAAGTTGGGTGCCCGGGCGCTTGGAAAAACAGTCTAGCTAATTTGAGCTTATTTATCCTTATGAAACCTAACTCTAAATTGTCTATACCATGCTGTGTTTCCTACCAAAAGTAGTCCCCCAATGCCTCTGTACAATGTCAGTCTGAACTCGATGTCACCAAGTCTCAAATCTTTCTCTCTCTCTCTCTCTCTCTCTCTCTCTCTCTCTCTCTCTCTCTCTCTCTCTCT